CTTTAATTTAATATAGAAAATTGAGAGTTAGCATTTTCTAATATTAAATATCATAAACTGTTACATATTTTACAAAAACAACCTTTAGAGAGGAATACATATTGGCCATGATATTAAACATGTCTGACTCCTCGACACAAATCCTTATGCCTCTTTACACATTTTATGTTCAGAATATATTTTCTAGCTAAGTAGATCAATTTCTTATTTGAAAGTTGCAAATAAGCTGCTTTAAAAATCGATAAATGCTGCCTACCCGCGACCCAACGACATTTAAAGCTGTCTCTGTGACCAAGTATTTGCCTGCCACTCACATTTGACTTTAACACTGCGTTTCTCATTTATTTTTCGCTTCTCTTATTTGCTCATAGTAATTAAATGTAAGCCCACAGGAAAAGGTTTTTTTTTTATATATATATATATATATATGTAGTTGATTTGGTGAGATTCAGCCATTAAGTAATTGCTGAATTAAATCCATCTCAAAGCAATTTAAAGCGCTTAATCTGATTATAATTATTCACCTATGTAGAGCTCTCACTGGCCGAGCAATTGCTTAATTCAATGTAAACAGACTCTGCAAATTGCGCAACAACACGAATGCTGCATGCAACATTTCAGACATACAGATGCACATACATGTGTGTATGCAACTTCTGAATGGTGCTGCCGGTTTTATGCGCCTGTGGAATTGTCAAGGCTTATACAAAATGCATTCATAGCTTAATCTTGTAGGCGGACAGAGATTTACGACCTGCAGCTGAGGTGGCGCCACGCTAGTGCCATCGTCGCATTGCACTGTTGTTGTCTTGGCTGTTTTGTTCGCATTGGCAAGGATGCGGCTGCAGCTGCCATATGCGCCCAATAATCTATCAATAGCACCCTCATCGACCCCCAGCCACTACCAGGATACAGCACACACACACACACACACACACACATACACCCATATACACACACCTTCCAGCACGATATCTTACTTTAGTGTGTATCTCTTTTCTTACAGTACGCCCTGCTGCAGACTGTGGTGGATGCCTGCCAAAAGAAGAGGCACTGCAAGTTCGCTGCGAATTCCAAAACGCACACAAGCACCGATCCCTGCTCGGGCATTCGAAAATTCGTCGAGATTGCCTACAAATGCCGTCCATGTAAGTATGCCAGGTCCTTTTACCAGGTCAGTCCCGCCCCGCCCATCCACTGTCTCCTCAGCCCCTTCAAAAAAAAAGAAAAGAGAAAAAAAGCGAGTATGGGCTACCGAGGCGACCAGGTTTGCGCTTTTGTCCTTGCCGCGTTAACCATACCATGATATATATTATTTGCGCAGCAGCAAAAGTAAATATTTGCCAGATGCAAAAGTGCCAAACATCAATTTAAGTTCTCAGGCAAACAAACAAATTTATTTTTACCCAATGAAATAAGCCGTCATTTATGGAAGCCATGTGCAGATAACCTTCAAGCGCTGCCAAAAAAAAATATGGCAAAAATATTTTTAAAAGTTACTGAAGTTTTAAGGAATTTTTGTATATTTTTTATAAATTCTGTTCATAAATTCTTACCACATAATTGGGAGCCAAATCAATTTATACATCTTGCCATGCTTATGTGTGCAGTGAAATATCAAATCCCTTTATATAATAATCTATTAATTTGAAATATTTCACTTCTGCAAGATTTTGTAGCATTTATTTAAGCCAAATATAAGTGGGCACAAAATGGTTGTAGGATAAGTTATTATGCAGAGAAAGCTACTTACAATAAAAGCTTACAAGTCAGTGGGCAGTATGGCCATTAAATAATTCACATTTCAGACCAAAAGAGATATTTAAACATTTATTCATGCAAAAGTTATGAGCATTTAAAGCAACTCTTATACAGAAGTCAATTAAGCCCTGACCAAGCAAGTGCATACATATATACAGAGTGTACAGAAGGACCCCCCTCACAGGTCACACGTAACTAGCACCTGCATTTATATTAATAATGATCCAAGTTGAACGGACTTCACAACAGAAGGCACAATCATAATATACTAAAATCTCTCAACTCACACTTGCGCAATGGTGGCAAAACACAAAAAAGAATAAAAAATAAAATAGAAAATAAAAAACAACAAAATTAATGAGCACTTCAACTCAAATAGAAGTTCGAGGCGATAAGAGTGGGCGGCAATGAGAGCTGGGAAATGGTAAATGTGAACTGGGAACTGGGAACTGGAAACTGGCTGCAAATTCAGCTAGCAGCATAATGAAAAATGCAGCTGCGCTTTTGCGTTGTTTTTGCTTTTGGATTTGCTTTTGCTTTAGCTTTAGCGTTAGCGAACATTAAAAATAGTTGAATAAACTTTTTCCCGAGTTATTTGCATAGTTTTGCACTGTGCATTTTTTAGCAGTGGCATCGCGATGGGCTAACGCCACCGGCGATTGGGCTAATGACACTCGATTATTTACGATCCACTGAGCAATTCATGTTTAATCGTAATCACTCGACAAACATAAGCCGATAAGCGAGCAGATGAACCACCTAAGTGCCGCTTCTCACTCCAGGGCACTTGACTTACAGATTCAGATTCCAATTCACCTGGAACAAAGCGGCGTCGAAATGGCGCTGTTGCCAATGGCTGCAGCCATTGGACGAAAGTCGTTAAACGAGTTCTTAATGCCTCGCCCAGACAGTTCAATTCGACCGTATTCAGATTCGAGCTGCCAGTGCACACAGAGCCCTATGCATTCCATGTAATTCTTTGGTAATTTGCGTCAGCCTTTTATCCATTTCCAGCATTCTTGCAGCTTTGCTAGAATACTTTTTACTACACTCGAGACAGGCATTATTCCTTTGCTACGAAATGCGTAACATAGCGGACAAGATACAAAAAGCAATCGCAATAAGTGTTTATATTCTTGACCAGATTCAAGTTGCTGGAGTCGCAGGCATTTGTTTCTTAACTTCAAATATATCCTTTATTTTGATTTTAGCAACTGAATTACATAGGCCGAAAGTAGTAAATTTTAATTTCATCATATATGATTGAATAAAAGATTTATATTTTTTGCATATTCTTAATTTTTCTCAGAATAAGATTTCAGTTTTATAAGATATTTATGCGAATAGGGATCGGATCAATATCACACAAGTCTGTAAATTAAATGCGATTTCCAAAAAATATTTATTAGATCTTAAGTTACTTCTGAGGGTATTTACGCTTCGCATTAAAGAAGGGAGTTTCTCGATTCCATTTTTTTATGCCTGCTTTTTTCATTTTGTACTTTTTTTTTTGACAAGTGACGCAGATGTTATCTTGTTAAAAAGCACACAAACACACCAAAGAAGTGAAGCAAACAGGAGAGAGACAAAAGAGGAGCGCCGCATTCAAATTAGAAAAGGGAAATGCACAGCGGGTTGAAAAAGGGCAACTTGTACTTGGTCCGCATAGCTGAGTACACTGAAGCTAGCTGGCACATGGTGGCCTACAGCGGGGGCTGTGCTGAGGTAATATAATTAAGGAGAGCCGAGTTTTTTTTTTCTAAATTGTCTGTTATCTTTTGCTCATTATGGACACCAGCGACAAGTAATAAAACTGCAAAGTACGAGTGGAAAACGTTGAAAAATTACGGCCTGGTTATGTGAGTGGGAGCAAAAGCTACAGCATGCCTCCAGGCTTGAAGCCCATGCCCATGCCCATGCCCATACCCATGGCCATGCCGAAACGAAGCTCGAGGCAAGCAATGCACAGCACGGCAAGCCCAGCTGGCGCATGGGCCATGGGCAGGAAGGCAGCCGGAGAGGCGCGTGCCAGACGGCACATTGTGGTCATAAAAATATGGCAATTTTCAAATTTTCTCACGTCTCTCCATAATAAAACGTGCACTCGCACTCTTAAGAGGAGCAAGGAATCACAGTGCCCAATACGAGAGCCGTGCACGTATCATGTGGGGGAAGTCAGAGCCACAAGGCCGGGCCACAATGCAGCAAATGCCAGAGGCCCAGGCCTGTAAACAGGCTATGCAAATATTTACCAAATTTATTAAAGTTCATCTCGGACCGAGCTTTCACCACAGACATTTCTCTTCCTATGCATCAAATGTACATCTATGCGTATGTAGGTGTGTATGTATGTAGTATGCATGTAGTTGTGTATGTACATACATTTCATATATTTGCCATGCGAAACATTTTAAGGTGGCTGTCAAAGTGCACAGCAGAAGAAAAAGAGCGCCGCCAGCCCAATTCATAATTGCTTGAGTTTCGTCCTTTTCTGCTTGCTTTGGGCGAAACGAGCAAAAGGAAGCAAATATCTTGGAAATCTTAGTCGACTGTACCTCGACAATTGCAAATCTCAACTTGGCTGACTTCCAACAGTTTGCTTTGTGAGACGTATGTGTGTGTCTGTTGGTGTAGTGGTAAATTACTGAGCATATGTGCAATTGAGAGCACACACATACATATACACATGTGCTGTGTCGACTATCCATGCTCCTCGACAAATGCCTTTAGATATTGAGGATACATAGTCAAACAAAGTAATTGGATATTAGACTTTTATTTGATAAATTTCACCATGACATACGAGTAATTACTTTTACACAAATTTGATGCAAAAAATGAACACTAAATACTTTAATAACAATTGTGGTCGATACAAAAGATTTGAAATAACTAAAATGATGTGAATTAAAAATATTAAAATTAATAAGAGATTAAATTATATTAAATCATAGGAATAACCCTTTTGAAATTCGAGACGTGATCGAATTTAAATTCATTGTCAAAGTCGTTTCTTTCTCTCTATTTGATTATTTATATGTTTGATCAAGTGTGAAAAATATATTTCATATATTATTGCACATTTAAATGAATATAAAGAAAAAATTGACTTTTTCTTTTCATAAAAAGTGAATATACTTTTTTCGTAATAATGTTTCGCGCATACGATTCCTGTCACATTTGTGCAACATTTCCAAACCACTGAATGCTTTATGTTTAAATTATCAAAATAACCACATTTGCAACCCTGATTTTATTATAGAAATTATTTTGAATTTAATATGGACAACTTAAGTTCGACGAAACGTGGCGTATACGTAATTAATACAAGTGAAATATAAACGTTTGTGCTCGCAAAGCAAATATTTAGTTTTCTTTTTTCCGTTGTTTATTTTCACTGTTATAATGACTGTAAATTGAATATGGCAATTCAAGCCGACAACTATCCGAATTTTGCATTAATTAAATAGCATCGAGAACAGAAATGTAAGCAATTAGTTGCATATGCATCAACAAATCTGTTAAAATGTCACTCAAGTCTAACAAAAAATAGTTGCAAATGAAAATTTGTTTAAAGCTTTTTATTATTTTTGTAAAAATGTATATGTAAATTGTTTCCTTATTTATATAAATACTTATTTATTCATATATTGTATTTTTGAGAGCGTTTTTCACATGAATGCCTCAGCCACAACTCCCCGTCTGCAAATTCCAATGAACGCATCATCAGAATCATGTTTTTCAGCTGCTGAACATTTTTTCCCGAATTATTTTAATGGCTTTTGCTGTTTGTTTTTTGCATTTTTCATCATCAATAAAGACGAATTCCGGAGCAAGTTGGCCTGCGAGAATGACAACATGCCGCTGATGTGCAATCCATACTCACGCATCGCCATCTACAGCGCTTCCTTTGGCCACACGGAGCGAGAGACTGTGCAGTGCGGTGGCCCGGGGACTCCGCCCGGCACCGTGCGGATCAATCGGGAGGAGAATAGCCAGCCCAGTAAGCAGCAGCCGCAAACGCCATACATGAGTTCATTGATCCATATTTTCATATTTACCAGCCTGCCTTGTGTCCTATGCCACCGAAACTGTCATGCAAATCTGTCATGGACGGCGGCGCTGCTCGGTGGCCGCAGACGCCGGCACTTTTGGACGTCCCTGCAAGGCCGATGTGCGCATGTATCTGAAAGTCGTATACACATGCAGTAAGTCCTTGAGGCTCACATTTAATTAAACTGTCAGCTAATTCTGACTTTCTCTTGCAGTACCCCGCAAAGTCCTCAAGGATCGCTATGAGACAGCGGCGGAGGCGGACGAGCCGCAGCAAACGGACTTGGACCAGGACCAGGATGAGCTATATGACGAGGATCAGTTCTACAAGGAGTCGGAGGCGATTCCACCGGCACCCAAGCTGCAGGGCGCCAACGTGGGTCGTTCCTTTGACTTTGACACCAACAACGTCGGAGAAGAGGCAACGAGCACACTTCTGCCCCCGTTGCTATCGCGCAACGATGGCTCGTTAGAAGGTAAGTGCTTGGGGAGCACAAGGTCATGCAGAGACTCGCCGAGATTTCAAAAATCGGTGCCTGGGGCGAACTATAGGTCCATAATTTGATTTCACTTTGCGTGCTCGTATCACTTTTTAATGGAGTCTGTCGCATCGGTATGTGCCATGCCGTTCAGTTGCTGCAAAGTGCCTCCCCAGCACATGGCGCATACATATTTTAAGAGCATGCCCATCCGTCTTCATTAGCCAGCTGAGTTACTGGCGTTTGAGCCATACGCTAGTACGGCTCGCATCCATCCAAGCCGTGCATTATCTATAGTAACGTTAAGTAACGTCAAATCATGTTTGCTGACGACGTTGCGCCTGGGATATTCCCGTTCGCCCCTGATGGATGCGAGCCCGCCAGAGCTGTCAGAGCTCTCGCCAAAAAAAAAATAGAAATAAAGTGAAAAAAGTACACAAAATATGTGCTCACCCAATGGCATATTTCGCAGAGCGTCTGCAGGCATCAGTGCGACTGTTGAACCGCATAAAAATGTCATTCAACAAACAATTGGTAACTGAGTCGGCTCCAACCACAACAGTGGCCAGTGAGCACATCAGCACAACCACCGAGGGGGCTTCAATTATAGATAATGAGGATAGCACCATTGAGTTGGCGACCGAAGGCTCGGACATCGGTGCCGGGACCGAGACCGCCAATACAAAATGGAGCTATGAGAAGGGCAACTACTTCTACCGTCGCAAGTGCCAGATGGTGGATGATTGGGGTACAATAGGTTTGAACTGCACCGAAGAGGACATCGTCACTGAACGTGTCGAAGTGGTTGGTTTCTTGGCAAATTGGCTGCACACCTATCTGCACATTCGAAGTGAGTTCGAGATCCTGTCCTCTTATGCTATCCCTAGCATGCCGTTCGTACAGTTAAGGCTTTCATGTGTAACTAATCGAAGTTTTTGTTCGCTTACACACACACCCACATATACCCCACAAAGTCACATTCACCGACACACAAGTTCGCTGACTAAAAGAACAACAACAGCTATGTCACGTCTCGCAGCACTGCAGACGATGTTCGACAAAAAAAATATATAATATATATATATACATATATATACATCTTTTCGCTTCACCATTTCCATGTCTCAAAAAGCGACTCGGCTGTCAGCTCAGCGTCTGTCATCAGCAGAGCCAAAGAGAGGGCAACAGCGGCTGCGGCTGCAGCTGCGGCAGTGGCTGCGGTAGCCAACACAAAGTTGCATGTGCTGCACGTTGCACCCAGCTCGTTGCTTGCCACATGGTAAAGTTTTTGATTTCGTTTTGCTCATAAACAAAGTCGCCCGATTAAAAGTTTAGCTCACTACTTTCCGCCCACGCAAATGCAGACAACGCGTTGACGAGCACACAAAGTCAGTGAAGATCAGCCATGTGGAAAACTCATCATGCTGCTTCGCCAGGCTTACACTAACTATGCACAGGCTACGGCGACGCGCCGTTCGGCTGTTGTTGCTGTACGGAAATTAGGAATTCATATACCAAGCCTCAAAATAACTTATTTACATTACTTTTTGCTTTTGCTCTTTCTCTTTGCATTCGCCTTTGCCTTTGCCTGTGCCGCTCACTTTGGCATGCAGAGCACCAGGAACAGTTTTACCTGTATCTAATCATATCGGTGACAGCGGGCGTTCTCCTGTGCCTAACGCTTGTCATCGGCCGACTCACCCTGCAGCGTCGGGGCAGCCGTTTGAAGAGGAGCTCCAGTGTCAGTGGCGTGGCGAAAAACTTTGCAGAAACTCCAATCGATGGCACAGGTGGAAGCGGCGCTGCTGGCGGAGGGGCTGGCGGTAATTTCCAACAGATGGCAACAGGTGAAACCCATCTGGGCGACACTTTCGGTGACGACATCTCCGACATCGATGTCGACGTTGACTTAACAGCTCCGATGCCACTGTCTAGTCTATCATCACGGAACGAGGTGAGTTGCAATTGGAATTGCTTAACTAAGCATGGCATGGCCATGATTTTCGAAAAACCCTGATGCAGATTCGGGCATAAATAGTGTGAAATGGGGTCCAACTGGGGCTTAGCTTAGTCGGGTGCCCTGCTGTTTAGACGTGCAATTACAGCTAGCTAAGCATACGGTAATTAGTTAAATCACCTTCCAATAGCTGCTGGGAGCGCTACGAAACTCTATTCTACTCGACTCTATTCTGCTCCAGCCCCGAGGTAGTGGCCTGGTCATTACCTGTAGTCATTACCTAAGGTAAATAAACATCTCTAAATATGGAAATTTCATTGTTCTTGCTTAAGCCAACAATAGACAACGAGGGCGCATCAAAAGCAACGGGCTTGTTGTGGTTCTGTTGAAAGGAAATGAGAGGAAACGGGCGCCAGGGAAGTTCCCTTGCCATTTAACCCATTTTGGGCCAACAAAAGCGAGGAGTCTTTAAATCGCCCTCTGCCCAAACCCTAAACACCCGACACGCAGGCAGCCAGCCCCCTTGTCTTTCAACTCCCACCTCCGTTGGGAAAAATGCTAGTAGCCTTGCTCCGAATGCTCGTTGCAACAATTTTTGTACTTTTTGTTGTTTATTTCATGGGATCTGGGCAGCAACAAAACCATTGCCGCCTTACACAAGCATAAGTACTGTGTACATATATATATCCCGAATATATATATACACACGTATATATGCATGATGGTGAAAGCATTCTGATGGTTTGTCGGACTGTGTTGAAGGGTTGAAAATGAAAATTACTGCACCTGTACAGCTTGGACAGCCGCCTGAGGGACTTTTCCACATAAAAGATGAAAATACCAAATACAAGCTCTGATGCAAAGATGTTTGCAACAATACAGGGCCGTCGATTTCATGTACCGTCTGTAGATTATTTTTAAGTCGGTTTGATTGAAAGAAGTTTACACAAGCTCAACCCTAAGTACACGAACTTAAATCGAAGGACAATAAACAACTTACGAGATGAAAGATGGACGAGTCCTTGAGCAAATACCTATATAGCTAGAGTATTTACATTTATGAAATGCTGAAACTGAATGAATTATTTCGATGGAGGAGCGTTTACTCAACCTGAGCTGCGCACTCTGATTAACTTAATATGAAGATTTAAAATGCAGAAAGCTGTGTGCAGCAAGCAGTGAGGGCCACTATGGTTACATATTTGCTCGTATGCTGCGTATATGGATTTTTTTCTGAGGGCCACCGATTGGGGGCGATGGGCAGGGTGAGCCAGGCCAGGTATCTGGTGTCTGGGCGTGCGTCATTTTCAATTGCAAGAATAAATGAGCAGCAGCTTAACTTTACTTTACTCTGCTCTGCCCTTTCATATCCTTTGTCGTCACCGTCAACAACTCGGCATCTCATCTGCATGCGGCACAAAATGGCATTCGCAACCGTCGGGCATGGGCCAAACAAACAAAAGACCTCCTACATGACATACGCACCAACGCCCAACTGTAGCTACGCTGGCTTAACGGGCGCTCAACCACATTCGCATCCACTGCCAGTGCAACATCCACATCCACATCCACATCCATCCTCAACGGCAACCAGTGTGCTGATGGCACCGCACACGCAGCCCAACATTTACACCAGCATGGGCCATCCAGCTGTGAGCGGAGCAATGACCATAGGTAAGTAGCACAGAGTGTAGTGAATATTTATATTAAAGAGAATGCCGTTAGCTGCGATGCATAATTAAATACGTAATTAAAGTGAAATTAATGTTCATTTGTTACATATAAATTTGTCGTGTTAATATATAATCACCGTTCACATCCATATCCATATCTATATATGTACATATATATATCTATGTATACGTCTCCTCACAGGTCCTCACATGCTGGGCCCCTCAAGCTTGGGCGGCGTTTCGCCGGCTTATCTGAGTGGCACCATCATGGTGCCCGGACACCAACACACGCACGGCGGCACCCTGCGTCGCACTCTAATACCAACCAGCATGGGCCTGATGAGTGCGCCCTCGCCGCCGCCGGCGATGCTGGGCACAGGAGGCGGCATGGCGCTGCCGCCGCACTCGATGCCCGCCACCAGCGGCAGCGGCGTCTACTACGATAGCACGGTGCCACGCAGTCTGGCGCGCGGCATGTCCACGGAGAGCGGCGGGCAGTATTTCCTGGGATGACACTCGCTCAACCGCAAGGCTTCACTGCCCGTCGCCATTGCGGTGCGTCCTCAGCCGCACTTGAACTTTAACATGCTGCCAATGTCGGCGACTGTGGGCTTGGGCTCGCCCTTGGTGACGGAGTCCAGTGGCAGCCGAGCGGGCACGCCCACCAATGCTAATGGTAACAAAACGGATATACCAGCAATCACAGTGACGGCCTCGCCGGGGCCGGCCTCCATTCTGCTGGGCAACATGAAACCGCCGAATTCTGGCACTGACACTCGTGCGACCACGCCCACCGGTAACAGCGGCATGCCAATGTCCTCGTCCGGACGGAGCCAATGTTTCTAGGATCAGTTTAACAGTTCAGCAATCGTTCTCAATTGTCTCTCTGAAACTGATCGGAGCCAAGGACCAGTGGACGAAGATCTATTCTACTTGTAAATAGCATAAAGACTCAATAGTCGCCCTGTTTTCCAATTCAAGTTAGTAAAATTTGAGATAACAATTTAAGCATATTTCTGCGATTAACCATAAATGAAGACGTTCAGAGGCTACCCTGTTATCATAACCAAATCAAATTACCTTCAAAGGGCTAGAATAGGCATGGATACTCGACACGAACTCGTGCAACCGAGCATTTCCAATCGTTTTAATGCATCTAGAAAATTCAACATATTTAGCATCAATTTTAATGCCATTGAACAAAACGTATATTGAAGTCTCTCAAATACATTGGTATACTTAGAATAATACAGTTTATAAATATAAATATATATATATAAATATATGATACTCATCTTTCATGAATTTCTAGTCTTAAGCGCATGAGGTTACATTAAGCATGAGATTTATTTTATTTGCCTTAAAACCAAAACTGGTATATTATAGAAAGAAAAACAAAACAAATACTAAAAATTTGTATATCTAAAGTCGAAAGTAATCAAAGTTACGAAGTAGAAAAACATCAAAACAGTAATTCAATATACGAATATATGAGTAGCTAAACTCTGCAGTGTCAGCGCAATAGAGTATAAAGAAGAAGAACAACTACTTTATATATTTATAAACCTGTGACTAAGAAATGATTTAATTTATTAATCCGCCGAAAAAGAGATATAATTCCGTTAATTTTTATTCATTATAATAGCAGGCTAGAAGGAATCTTTGAGATCCACGAGAGCCGCAACAGATGTATTTGGCAAACATTCAATCAAGCGTCAGGTTTCAAGGACCCAAAGCTGATTTTCTAGATAATTATGTGCTTGAATGCAAGTGCACAATAAATACATCAATTACTGCAAAACAAAATATCCGTTCACATAATGAATGTGTGCTATCAATGTTAAATATAATCGTTCACAGTGAATCGTAACACATACCAGAATAAATAGTTGAGAAACTTTAGAGATTGTTAAACGTACACAAACACTTACACACACACACATACCCAAGAGCGCCAAATAACTGCGTCTCTTTGCATTGGAGATGGAAATGTTTCCCATTCAGTCCAAAACCAATTTAATTTATTGTTTATAGCTGCATAGATGCAAGAGCAAAACACTATCCTAGATGTGCTCGATGGCAGACCAGATCAAATATTGTTTAATAAACCAAATGGGATTATTCAGTTCGTAAAACAACAAATTGAAACCAATTGTCAACAACTTTGTTATGAATCGTTTATAATTTTTTGGGGTTAAGATGTGAAACAGGGTAATAAACGAATATACGTATTATTATTAAATAAATTATCTGTGTTCTTGATACGGTGAGTATGTGTCGAATGCAGCAGGAGTCTATCGAATCCAACACACAAATCGAATCATAGAAAAGTGATTGGCAAATGTAGGTATATTGGTGTTGGGGTATGTCCGTCTGCCTGTGTGTGCAAAGAGCTTTTCGCCGCAATCGAAGGTAGAAAATTGAAATATGAAACATACGCTGCTGTGATTGCTACTCTCGACTCCAACAGTGACGTGGCAAATCCGAAAAAAATATGTATTTTTTTTTATATACCAGGTAAAGCGCAAATAGAGCTGGAGATGTATGGGCAGAGTGTGGAATTTTAGCTATGGCCATCTAAAAATATATAAAAGAGCGAGGCAGAGACGTGCAGCTCGAAATGAATACACGTGAAGAATGATTCCGACTAAAAAATATAAAGGAGCTTACTAGATCCCTTGACATAGTAGAAGCTAAGAGCCAGCCAAACATTTTACAGCTGAAATACTACCATCGGATAAAGCAATAAAATCCTATATTTGCCAGCTATCCATAGTTGGAGCAACAACAAAGTCTTGCTTTTTAATTAAGTGAACAACCCTTTGTGGATTGCTCATTCTCGTACAATTCATAATTTCATCTGCTGCAGCAATTCTCTGTTAAACACTCGGAGTAGAACAACAAAATATATGTAGATGCCGATATGCTGCATGACGAATAATAATACGAAATAAAAGGTTCGTCTGGAGCCGAGTCGAATGATGTCTAATGGACTGCAATTGATTATGTCTGTCTATAATGATGAAGCAGCTCGACCAAACAATAAGTATGCCAAGTGATTGACTGCTCTCGTTATGAAAATGTATTCACGAGCATTTTCTTTGTTGGCAGTGGCACGGCCAAAGTTAAGGGTAATGACGGCGTACCGAAAACCCCCACCCAGCCCGCACAGCCACCCAACCCGCCCATCCACCTATTTGGCAATAAGTTGTTAATGGCTCTGTGGCACAAGTGGACGATCCTTGTAAGTATATTGAGGGAAAACTTCACCATTTGCAGCACTAGCACAGGGCTAATTATGATAAGTGGCTGCAAATAGTTGTCGCTGACAGCCGAAGCAATTTGGTCGAACGTTGCCAGCAGTGACCAAGCTATCTTTCCACGAACTGTGAATCACGAACAGACGCTAGAAGGATATTCCCCGAGAGGCTGGCACCAGTCGACCAGCGACGCAAACAAAAGTTTTTCAATTAAAAACGTTAAATAGCCACAAGCACTTAGCAATAAATTCCTGCTGCGTATGGAGTGGAGTCGACAATAAAACACCTAATGAAACGCCATTGCCTAAAAACAACAATAATTATAAGTCGAAATTGAAAAACATAGACGTACTTATAAACGAGGCTCTTAGATTACATGCAATCTATGTTTGTAGCTAGAATTTCTTATATATTCCGAACTCTCGCCCCCTCTCTCTCTCTCTCTCTTTGAAATTGGAGCCCATCGTAAATATATACATATGTTTATATACGTATATGTGTTGTGTCTATTTCGTATATAGATAATAATATATTGTATGCTCCGAGTTTGATTCAGCGAACAGCGGGGCGTATACGGGTTTTATGCAACAATTTAATGAATCCGCTGTTTAAATGCTGACAAAACCATAAAACAAGATTTGAATGGCCAGCAATAACAGCACTCCCAACAACAAAAACAACAACAACAACAACAACTGATATATCTGCACATATTTTTATACACATGTATATGTGCACAGATAGAGATATATGTACGTATGTATGCTATATGGCAGCTACATTCAGAGGCGTAGCAAGGACTTGCTGTAGGGGTAAAAGGAAAAAAAGAATTCAATTTATTATTGCTTTCAAAGCGTATTGATTTTATGCGGATATGGCTTTGTTCGCCAAATATTAAATGCCAAATAAAAATCAACTTTATGGTGTTTTACAGCTATATTTTCTTTGGCGAAAAACAGGCAACAACTCTACAAACAAAAACATCGAACTCCACCTTGTATTTGGGTAATGAAAGTTTATCAAGTTTTTTAACGGCTAGGTCGAAGGATTCGCCGATTAAAATAAATAGTTTTTCTGTGTGAGCTCGGCGCGTATATGAATAAATTTATTGTAAAAATTTTCAAATGAGAATTCGCATAGCTACGCTCCTGCAAATATGCATGCCAGTAAGTATATTTGCGAAACAACCGCGCGGCTCAGTGGGTGCGCACCGCCCATTGGCCATCTACAATGATTTCCCGAAATATTTCGTGTTGCGTTAAATCGTTAAATGAAAAACCAAAAATGTGTTAAAGCGTTCAGCTTCCAGCTTGGGCCGCACATACATGTATGTATTCATGTGTATTCCTAAAAATGTTTGCTCTTCAAATTGGTTCATTGCTCGGGTGAAATGTGAATGTGCTCGCAGGCATTACTAATTATGGCAAACCAATTCAATGAACGTGGAAGCGAATCTATGGCAGTAACAGCGTCAGAAGAGCACTAGTATTTAAGGACCATATTAATGTGTGTTGAATCGAATCACAACCATTCACAACTTGTAAAATATATTTAATGGCACGTTCACAAAATACATTGAATTTCATAATTAATATCAAAACAGTCAGTGAAACTCCATTTAATTACTATTCCATTTCTAAAGTATATTACTTATTTTTAAGATGTAAAGTTCAGTTCATGGCATGTTTACAAAATATACATATATAATTTTATAATTGTTTCATTGTTAACAGCTGTTGGGAACATACAGAGTTTTATAATTATTTTATAAACTAACTTTTTTATTGATTCTCAGATGGCAACAACGGCTTTGAGCACCAGTTTTATAATTTATGCACAAAGAGTTATATAATTAAATTAGTTTAGATACCGTAATGTGTGGAAATGAAGGCTTCATCATGCTGTCCGACCCTTGACCTATGCTGCTTGGTCAAACGCCACCAAAAATACCCACAAAATATGTATATATACATATACATGTATATATGTATATACAGTATATACGTAATTTAGTTGGTTTCGCCTTGTTTTAGTCTGCTGCTGTTGCTGCCTCTGCTGCCTCTACTGCTGCAAATGAAAGGCTAGCAAAATTGTAAGCGACTGACAGGTCGGCTTATTCATGTATAGGGCAGCAAAATGCATCTCAACTAGCTCATTATGCTTGTATCCCAAAGATCACGACTTGGCCAATTTCGCAATCAGGTGGCAGGACGAGAAGTCTCCCATTGATACGAATGAATAATTCATTTGGTAGGTCAATAAAATCGCATTTGATATGAACTGTTTTATGTGTTAAGCACCGCCAAGGGTATATCATCATCGGTGTGTTATAATTTATTTAATTTGAGGCATCCTGCACGTTCCTGTTGCTGCCCACAGCTCCCTTATATATGTACGCTTCTTTCTCATTTTTTTTTCTTTTTTTTTTACAAATTGTTTTAGATTCTCTGCACGTTCCCAACGACGCTTTTCAGCTTCAGCACCAGCACATTGCATGCTGTGCTGCAATAGCGAATCCGAATGCGCAAACTCCCACCTGAGTCCCAATTCATTGGGAGCCCGGCGCTGCCCGCACTCTCACGTCTGCATCCCGCCTCAGTCCACGGTAATTGGCGAAGTCACTACCGCTGCTATTCCTGTTCACGCCCACGACGTTGCCAGTGCTAGTGCCAGTGCCAGAGTCAGCGCCATCGCCAGGACCAAGAGGCGAGCCACCAAAAACGCTGATTCAGGTCATTGTATGTAAAAATTAATGGAACATTTTCCAGCAACGAGAATTTCATCTTTTCTTTTCACGTATTTGTACACGGCAGCTTGTCCGTATTTTCCGTACAGCTCCTGTTCGCCAATCAGTTTTTGCTACCAATTTGCGTTAGTTCGCCTGAAAAGTTTCATTTATTTCATTTGTAAGTCTGAGCTCTAAGCGAACATCAACCCGTTAAAGGTTGTGCTCCCAAGCCAAAAGAAAAGAAACTATTGTTCCTATGAATCATAAAGTGGTACAAAAAAGTTATGTTTACATGCATACACATACAAATGCATACATATACACATATACATGCATGCATGAAGTGGCTTCGTTAAGGCTCAGCGACATTTGCTGGCTTTAAGCTTTCCCCAACTTTCTGGGGGAAACCGCAAAATTTTGATTTCATTCCTTAACTCGTTCACATTGAGAGAGATAGATAAAGAGAGAGAGAGAAGGAGAGCAATTTATATTAATAGGCATTAGCGGCGGCTTTCAAAAACTGAGCGCCAACAATTGCATATATGCAAGCTATTTAAGCCCTCATTAAGTCAGAAAAAGTTTCTCAAATATTTCAACTATTTTACGACGCCTAAGCACCGGCATCGGCGCATAGGCCGCGAAGGGCCGCACGGCCAAGGGGGTGGCCGGAAGGGCCGGAGGGGCCAAAGGGACGTGGTGGATGAGGTGAATGAGGTGGACGCGTGAAACGCTTGACGGTGTCCTTATGGAATTTATGCAGCTCGTGATGGCCTTATGCTGAAACTTTCGCCATCGCCTGAGTCATGCCCCGGCAGCAGCCTCACCAGAGAATTGGCGAGGTAATGCTGTTATCTGTGTGTGTGTGTGTGTGTGTGTGTGGGCACAGGCTGGCGTGTCTGTTGGTAAATGCTCTTTAACTTATTACAGACGCAGCTGCTTGAGCTTCGTTATGCCAATCATTTCTATTCCGCACTCGAGTGCGTTGCCAGCCGTCAAAGCTAAACAGTTTACTGCTTAAGCCCGCACAACTATCAAAAGACGTCGCGCATTAAAGCCAATACCCTCTGACACTTGTCTGCAAACTTCGATTGAGTGAAATGGCGTTATTAAACGATACGATAGATACGTTTCGAATTGCTAGCAATTACGCTCGCAGCGGATTTCATTTTCTTAAGATGTGAATTTGAACGTTTGCATTTTAATGCTGCTCGCTG